AATTGCTATATGTTAATCCATTTATGCCAAACTCCCAAACTCAACCTACTCAAGCTGAACTCAAACGGGCTTACACGATAGTTACCCAAGATTTAAGGCAAGCTTTGCTGAAAGCTCCAGTCGGTAAAACTGTCCGCTTCGGTAAACTAGGTTCTTTTAAAAAAACTGAAAACCAAATTACTAGTCGCTTACAAAATAAGAAAGGTATTCGCTATGTTTATTATCGCTTATTATTTAGACCTTATCGCCAACTTAAGCAAGAACTCAATCAGGCTTTAGAAAGGAAATATAATCGCTAATGACTTTGCCTATCTCGGAAAAGCGAACTAACCAAACTAGTCCAGCTTACCAAACTCAATCCTGAAAATGAGAAAAAAGACATTGATTGCTTATTTTAGCAGTGGGCTGCTTCGCTTTATGGTTTTTTAGTGCCAATTTAAAAGAAATGCCTGGGCTGCAAAAAGCGATTGATTGCTTGCCTTTAATTGGCAGTAGTGCCTTTGCCTTAGAAGCGATTACTAAATTAGCTCAATAAGATGGTAAAAGTTAATCAGCCGCCGACAGGCTTCCAACCAACCAATAGTAGTCAGTTTCAAAACCATAGCCAACCAGCTACTTTTAATTCGCAAGAGCCAAATACTCAAGCTACCCAGCCCAAAGGTCTCTTTCAAATCCCTCCCGCTTTCCTCCAATGGCTTCCTTTACTCCCCTTGCTCTTAGAACAAGCCACTGGACAAAAGATACCGCCAATGGGAGGAACGATGGGAGAAATCCAAAGTGTTTTACAGCAAGTACAGTTTAACCTTTCCCAATTACTGAACAAGCAACAGCAAATCTTTTCTCGCCTCGAAAGCTTAGAAAATAATGCCTCCAATCAATTGAATAACCTTAGCCAACAAGTCGCTAGCACCAATAAGTCTTTTCACTTATTAGCCACCGAAACCAAGCGTAGTCTGGAATTTAATCCGCTTCCCCAACCCAAACTAGAGTGCCCTTCTGAAGAACTTAATTACTAAGATGAACTTTTTCCCTGACCTCACTCCCTTAACTAATAAAATCACTGAATTCACCCATTCTCAACAACAAAGCCAACAAACCCTAATTGCCTTACTTCAACAAAACAACCAACTTTTAAATCAAATTTTAAATAAACTATAATATGCCCCAAATTGAAAATACCCCTGCTAGTCAATACATTGACCGAGCTTCCTATGATTGAGCCCGTGAGCAACGCGGCAAAGATAATAAAGAAACTTTTATCTATGCTACTGTCGCCATTGCCGCTGTCGCCGTCTATGCTACTTGAGCTTGAATGATTATCCAAAAAATCAAAGCCTAATTGCTTTTAAATTAAAAACTATGAAAAACGAATTCCAAGAAAATACTTTAAAGTCTTGAGCTACTGGTAAACTTGCTATGTTTGCAGTCGGTTTAGCTGCCGGCTACTTTCTCTATCAAAGTGGCTTGCTCCAAAAGCTAACCGGTAAATTATTGGCCAAGAAAGAAGACTAAAAACCTCGCTACCCGTCCTTTTGCTTTATAAATTAATCCACCATGAACGACTACGCCCTGAACAAAGAACTCATTAACCAAGTGCTGCAAGAAATCTTAGCTGAACAGCCCACTCTACTGCCCGTCTCCCCTACTTGCCAATGCCATTTTTTAGATCCTAATAAATTGCGAATGCTGCTCTGAAAAGACCTTCAAGGAGGTAAAGAGACTTACATTCTCAAAATTGCTGAACAAAAGTTCGTCGGAGAAAGCCGAGCTGACCGCCGAGGTGAAGTTTATTGAAAGTTTCGGGAGTTGTATGAAAGTAAAGAAGTTAAACCTTCGGAAACTAAACCGGCGGAGGCTTTAACGGAAGTCAAACCTAAGCCGATGAGCTTGTATTCCAAAGAAGAATTAGAACGAATTAATAAATTTCGCGAAAGACAAGTTAAAGCTCAACAACTCCAAGCCCAAAAAGAATCCAAATGAATTGAAGGAAGTGAACACTTAGCTCAACTCGAAAAAGAAAAAGCCGAAAAGAAAGACCCAACCCAATTAGCTTCGGTTAAAGAAAACTATGCCAATGCTAACCCATCAGCCAATTAGTTTAACTCAATCCGTTCAAGCTTTAAGCACTAGCCTTCAAGCCATTCAACCCTCGAATTCCGAAGCTACCCAATTAATTACTTATACTTTAATCGGAGTTGCCTTAGTCGGAATGATGGTTTATCATTATATTAAGCACCAGGAGGCGGTTAATTAATGCTGGCTTGAAATGATTGAATGCCCGACTTTAAAGGAGCTTTAACCGGTTTTTACCAAGAAAGCTTAAAGCCTACTATTGAGAGTAAAAGTGTTGAATATAAAGCTTTAATCCAAGCAAACTTTGCCCACGGGGTCAAAACCCAAAAAGCCATTGTAGCGATTGCTTTAGCGATTTTTTTGTTATTGGCTCTAGCGTTCTTTTGGCCTGATAAGCCCAATGGTGTTCAATGGAAATATCTGGCTTTGGGAACCTTAATCAGCTACACGGTGCCTTCTGCTTTAAGCTTTAAAGTCCAAAAATAATATGTCTACCTTTACTTTTGCTATTACCCTTATTTGCGTCCAATGCCAGTTGCCTATTAGTGAACAAGACTTCGCCCAAGGTAATTGCCAAGTTATCTTCCCAGGTGCCATTGTTCAACACAAAACTTGCCCTTTAATTAAAACTAACCCTGACTATTGTGCTTCTC